TTTTATTGTATTATGGTCTTCTAGGAAACAAGGAATTAGCTCTCTCTCTCTCTCTCTCTCTCTCTCTCTCTCTCTCTCTCTCCCTCTCTCTCTCTCCCTCTCCCTCCCCCCCCTCTCTTGTAAATTTCTGTTGAACCTAAAAATTCCAAAATTCCCGTGTAGCAAAGGAAACAATAAGAGTTAAAAGATGGCCCAGAGAATGGGAGGAAATCTTCACCAGCTACATTTCATACAGGGGCTAATGTCCAGATTTTATAACAAATGTCAGGAATTAAATACCAATGCAATGAAACTGCCAAACAACAAATAGGCAAATCATATAAATAGAAAGAGAAAAAATACACAAATGGCCAATAGCTATTTTAATGTATTCAATATCCCTAGCCATCAGGGAAATGCAAATTAAATCACTTTGAGACACTACCTCACCCCAGTCAGAATGGCTATCAGCAATAAATCTGACAATAAATGATGGGGAGGATGTGGAGAGAGAGAGGGGTGCAAATTAACACAGCCATTGTGGAAATCAGTTTGGCAATATTTCAAAAAATTAAAAAAGCTTGTAAATAAATAAAAATACCACACACTCAAATTAACCAGACCTGAAGTCTATACATCTTAGTGGACTTTTACACAGTTAGAATAGGTGTTGGGAACAGACGTCGTAGAACTTCACATTAAATTTAACACTTTCAGTATTGAACATATTTAATGAATTTAATTACTACCATATGACCAAGGTATTTACATCTTGAGCACCATACTATGTCAGAAGAATCATGAATCCTCTTGCTTATGGCTGCTTTATTCACTATAGCAAAGAAGTGGGATCAATTGACTTGGCTTCAACAGATGAATGGATAATGAAAACTTGGTGTTTGTATGAAATGGAATGCTACTGAGCTCTAAAAAAGGAAGTTAAAATTTTGCAGGAAGATTAATGAACTTAGAATGTATATTATTAAGCAAGGCCACACAATCTCAGAACCCACACTTCTGTCTCATATGCAGAATTTAACCAATAGTATATACATGTATGTAAACAAGTGTGCATATGGGTACAGTATAATATAAAGAAAAAAGAACAAGAATCTAAATATAGGGAGATGAAGAAGGATAAAATGTAGGTAATGTACACAAGTTACGAAAGAATGTATAAAGCTCATTATTTTTCCAGTAATTCTATCATGAAATTTTTGGTTTGGATAGTAGATAAATGCATAAAATATATTCAATACTGAAAGTACGACATTTAATGTGAAGTTCTACAGTATCTGTTCCCAATGTGTAAAATTTATACAGAATAGCTATACAGTACTCTAGCTGGTTAATTTGAGTGTGTGATATTTTTATTTATTTGAAAGCTTTTTCAATAATAAGGTTTATAAAATTAAGAATAAAATACAACTGGAAAGAAAATAACTTGTCAACCTATTTAGAAACATAATATGCTTTGGCTTTCCTCTTATTTTCTCTGTCTGGGGGAAGTAATTGATTATCATGGTTTACAGGGACAGTAAGTCCCAGGTAATCAACAGTCTTCCAGCTGAGAACTGAGGCTCTAGGCTCACTTTTGCTTGTAATGAATGTTAGCATTTATTCCCTTATCATGTATACAGCATGAATATCTCTCTGATCAAGAAAACACTAACAATACCCAAGAGCATCTTCTGGAAGGGAGTGTTGCTAATTGAAATTCTGAAATTAAAATAAAGCCAGAGACACAATTACTATTGTGACCTCTTTATTACAAGGCCAGCAGAGACTGACTTTCCTACTAACATTGGAAATCAGACTCCATCTACTGGCAATATATTAAAACAGAAAAGCATTTTAAAAAGCACTTTCCTTCAAAGATAAAGTAAAATAAGTTTGTGTAAATCTTTGCTTAGAATTTTCTCTAATATCATGGACATGATTTGCCCTATAGAACTAATAGTTAAAAACTGAAATATCATTAATTTATGTGTATGACATTTACAATTTAGTTATCTGATCCTCTAGTATATGGGTGT